AACATTTGTGGTATAAGACCAAAAGATTTTTCTAATTGTGCATAAAGTTGACAGCGATTGTAAACATGTAACTCAAAGCCATTTAACATAACTGACAATCGTGTGTCAGAATGCGAGAGATCTATAATATATAAAATAATATTATAAGATATATATATTATTTTACAATTTGGTTAGAAAATTTATATAATTATAATATCTAGTATTAAAAAAATATTTGCCTTCTGATACATCTTTAGGGACATAGCTTCTCCACCACCTAAAAATGAGCCAACCATCCTGAATTCTAAAACTATAATCTGTCGTGATATAAACTATGTCTCTAAACATTATCTTCCCACTTAAAGCACTTAGTATGACAGATCCTGTGAATAAAATAAATGTATAATATCTGAAATAGTTTGTTTCTCTGTTAAATATGCTATATGTTCTTACCAACTTTAACATATCCGTCTCTAATAACAAACCGATTTAACAACTTTGTCAATATATAACCAGCTACTCTACTATTATAATAAGCGATATAAACAATCCAGGATATGGCAGATACTAGTGAACATAGCAACCATATAAAGTTACTATCCATTTTAAGATCATCCAAGATGACATGATCGGAATAATTCCAAAATGCTGATTCAATCCCAAAAAAAGATGAGACTGTAGCATTGTATAGTTCGTTCTCCTCCATGATAATGCTATTATTTCAACTACTGAATTAAAAACTATTGTTCATAGTATATTATATACTGAAATAATAAAAAAAGTCTTAATAAATATAAAATACACAAATAAATATTAAAATGTTTATATATGTAATATATTGCATAATAAATACAATTATTTAATCATTTACAAATTATGAAAAAAATGAAAATTTATTATATTATTTAGTATAAATTTATCTTAATAGTTTGAATTTATATTATCAAATTTATCTTAACATAACCTATGAGTTTTTATATAATTATAAAAAAATTTTTATCACAATTTAGTCAAGTATAATGTTTGTTCTACAGTTATTTGTCTATTATTTTTCAAAATATGCAATTAACTCAACTGAACTAACATGTCAAAAGAAATTTTATTAAACTTTTGATATCACAAAAAACAAAATGTCTACAGATCTATGCTGAATTATTTGCGTATTCACTGTGTATGACAAAAATTTTAATATTTCTCTTCCAAAAATAATTCATCATAATGATCTCGTCTCTGCAGGAAAAGCGATTACCTGTTCAACGTAAAACGACATTTTCTTTCAACGATTTACCTTTATTAACTAGTCAGTATAAAGCACATTGACATTTGGATGTGCTATTCATATTTCTACGTTTGTCATTATAATAATCCTATTATCATTGTAATAATCTTGAGAGAAATGTCGGAGAGAGAGCTGTCATCAATGAACAATGACACGCATAACCACTCCATATTTGACGTATTTGCTTGACCAATACATTATTAAGGTAAGTTTACACTGATCTGTATGCATAGAACTCATACTACTGGAATAGAAAGTAGGAATATAGACATCAAGCTGGGAGCAAGATCTAAAGGAAATATTTTTCTATCCTCTTCTATCCTCTTTTTGGCACATGCGCAGAAAGAAGAAAAGTTATTGAGCAAGACAGAAATGTTTTAATTTTTCTATCCTCTTCTTTTTTTGGCACATGTACAGAAAGAAGATAAATTACTAAGCAAGACAGAAATACATCTTCTGTCTCTTAAAGCCGGTTCTACATTAGTTGCAAGCTGATCGCAAGTTTGTTGCGACAGCCAATATGAAGCGTTGATTTCAAAATGCAAACTTCAGATTGGCTGTCACACAAACTTGCGATCGGCTTGCAACTAATGTAGAATCGATTTAATATGATTGGTCTTGCCCTTAATTCCTCATTGGATCTAAATGTATAAATATGTATAACTAATTATATTCAAGAATTTTACAACAGTTGCAAAGCTGCTTTCTTTGCTGAACGTCAATTTAAAAAAAAGGTTACAAACATTAAGTCTAAAAGTATTTTTATATAGTTGAGCATCGTGAGTTTGCTATTCGTCAATTTTGTGATACAAGCATTGTTCTATCTTTCTTGATATTCAGAAACAAAGATAGAAATGAACGATCCTTGTGTAGACTTGTGTCATCAAATGAAAAATACCCCATGTAGGATGTGGTGATACAAATGCTTCGAAGCGTTTGATTGATCCAATCAGAAAAAAGAATTTTTTGACCAATCAAAAAATGCTTCGAAATATTTGTAGCATTAAATGGACTATAGCTGTAATGGCATCTTAGACCTGTTATATAGAATTGTAATTCGTAAACTGTAAAAAATTAGCCAATCATAGTCGATTATTTTTATTTATATTCAACTGTGATTGGCCAATTTCTTGGTTAAGCACAGTTTGCGAATTGCAACTCTATTATGTAAGGCTTTAAGGCCGATATTTTATGTAATGTACAAGACTTTTCAAGCCTGTTGATTGGCTGCAGGATAGACAGATCCGAGAAACCTCTCTGTCCTACAGCCAATCAATAGGCTTGACATATCGGGCTAATAATGGTCGCATTCAGCGGACTCAATAATTGAGTGGCGTTCGCTGTTATTGGTGTATTCCTTCAGATTATCCAATCAGTATTTTAGATCTAGAAAAATACATCAATAGCAGCGAGTGCTCACTCAAGTATTGAAACCGACGAACGCAGCTATTATTTTTTTACAGCTGAAGAAGACTCGGTGAAATTGAAATTTCATATTATAGATAAAAAGAAATAAATGTATTTATTATTTATCATTAAATTGACATTTCTTTCTCTCATCTTTAGTCTTTTGAAAATTTGTAGTATTTTACAATATTCTTAATTTTCCTAATGGGATCTTTATAAATTAGCTGTATTCCAAGTTTATTGCCAGCGCTAAAAATACTTTGTATACTATAGATTTTCAGTACTGGCAGTCAATTTTGGGACATAGTCCATTATAGTGATGCATTATAGTGATCGAATATTGATTATCGAATCATGCATCAATGCGCATGCACCAAAAAAGCGGTTTGTCTTAATAACACTTCGTGTTTATACTAGTGTAAAACTAATTAAAATACCAAATTTTTGAGATTATCTGTGATATTTATTTAATTTTCTATGAAATATTTATTAATACTTATGTACATCTATTTTTTAATACTTATGTACATATATTTTTTAATCATTTTGTGACAGTGGTAACAATTTCATTATATATAACTATATACTGACTTCAGTTAAACAGAAGGTTATATGCGGAAATAATAATTCTTGAATTTTATCCTATTATATTTAATTTTTGTTCCATCGTGTTTGTTATTATTATACCGCTATATTTGAAATATTTATATATAAATGCTCAAGCTTTCAACTTTGTTCGAAATGATTTCAGATTTATTAATATTCACACATATATAGATATATACATATATAATTTGTAATAAATAATTTAAAGCTTAAAATGACACGCCTATTAATCAGAAGCCCAATGTTGATGTCTGTATTTCCATTTTTCAAAAGCAATGATCAGTATGATAAGCCTGCAAATACAATAATAAAACCACTAGATGATGAATTAGGTTGGGACAGAGTAAAAAAAATTTTTTCTCTTGAGTATGTATACATATCTAAATATAAAAGTTTTTTTACTTCAATTGCATAAATAAAATTTTTATTATAATGGTTCGTAATTATAATTTTATTTTTTAGAGAAAATGGATATTCAAAAGAACTGCAATCTATCATAAATATAACAATATCAGGTTTTACAGTTGGCTTAGTTATGGGTGGTATGAGTTCAGCTAAGACTACAATAAATAATTTCATCATGAATAACGAAGCAACACGATTCATAAGCCATTTTGATGCAAAACAAAGTCTTCAACGATTAGTCGTTACAAATTTTTTAAAGAAGGGTGGGCTATATGGAACAAAACTTGGGACATTTTGTTTTATCTTTAGGTATGTATACTTTATATGGCCTAAAATTATGGAAAGTTAAAATGATATTTTATTTTATAGTTCCATAACAACATGTACATCATCATATCGTGGAAAGATAGCACTAGAGAATTATATGTTGGGTGGTTCCATAGCAGGATTATTATTTAAAATGAACCTCGGGCTTCGAGGAGCGCTTGTTGGCACTGGACTTGGTGGTATATTAGGTGGAATGTGTGGCAGTGTATCACTTATTATTCTTAAGTTATCAGGAATAACTATAAATGAAGTATTAGAAGCACAACAAAATTGGATAAATGCAAGAAATACGTAAGTAAAATATTATTCATTTTATAATTTAAATATTGAATTTGATATTTCTTACAAGAGAGATCTTACATCTACATTCAATATAAGTATATTGTGTTATATCGTTGAATGTATAAGTTATAAAATTATATTGATTTTTTTAAATATATTAATATTGTATATTTTTAACAATTGTAGGACAAACAAAATGATAAAAGAACGTATGAATAGTGAATTATCAGAAATGCAAAAATTATACGAAGAAAATAAAAAACTGCAAGATATAAACAAAAATAATGATAACCAAACAAAATAAACCCATAATTATATAAATAAATTTTATATAGAAAAATATCTGTGAGATCGAAATTTTTATTATCCATTTGTTTGCTTTAAAGTTTTGTGAGATGCAAAACAATTTAATAAATTTTCTAACAAATATACATATAAATTTTACACATAATTTATCACATAAGTGCGAAGTTTGATGAATCTCTTATATATATATATATATATATA